AAAGGCTAATAAAATAGCAGGTTGTCTTAATAACACGATATGGCGCAATCCCCACATTAATACCGACGTGAAATCAAGAATCTACAAAGCAACAATAAGACCAATAATGACATACACTTCAGAGACAAGACCGGATACCTCCAAAACTCAGCAACTACTAGAAACAGCGGAGATGCGTTTACTGAGGAGAATTACAGGAAACACACTGAGGGATCGAATGAGGAGTGAAGAGATCAGAAGAAAATGCAATATACCAGAAATAAAGTAGTGGACACTGAACAAAAAAAAAGGAATGGAACAAATACATAAGCAGAATGGAAGAGACCCGATTAGTCAGAATTGCGAGGGACAAATCACCAAAAGGTAGAAGAAGTATCGGGCGACCACGCAAAAGATGGGGTGATAACCTCCAATAGAGGCATTAATTGACATTGAACAAGCATTTTGCTTATAAAAAAAAGAAGAATCTTCATTCTTTGCCTGTATAAAAATTCGGAAAAATTTATATAGACTAATCTTCCTCGTTATTGTCCTGACTCAATAGGCCAGTCGATAGTTTTTAGTTTTTGCTACCACATGACGAGAAAAGCCAAAATTCATGAAAAAGTGACTGTCCTTGTTTCCCCTGTACTCTTCAAATATGAAAAAAGTACAGTAATCAAGTTGATCACTGCATTTTGCTATCATTTTTACAAAGAATGCTTTTACAAAAGTTATAGAATTTATGAAAAAAAGGTATCAAATCAAGAAGAATAGGGCATAAAAGATCACAAACAATTTCAAATGAAAAGAGTGTGTGACAAGGTTGTATCTTATCACTATTTAACATATACTTGGAAAACAAACAGCTTTGTTAAAGCATAAGTTCATTCAAGAAAGTAGAAAACAAGCCTATCTTCAACATAAATATTAAGACCTAAAGGATGATAAAACAACAAAAAAACTGACTAATGCAATTATCAATATCTATTGCAATATAACAATAAGAAAAGTTGAAATGCTTTATTACAATACTATTTTTTAACAACTTTTTACTCATACCTAATTATTTTGTCAAATATGTAATGACTTCTTAAGGTCATCACCTTGTAACTGTGATGTAATTCATTCTTTCTTGTCTGTATCAATGACTGGAAAACAATTACAGATTAATTATTTACCTAACCTTCCAGCATACCCACAGCATATCAATGATGAAACATTTTGTTATCAAGAACATAAGGATTCTTAGTACATTTGTTTTTATATATTTTTTATTTTTACAGTAAATCAATAAATATTTAAATAATATCATAACACTGTAAGTGTCCACAATGTTTTATTTTCACACATTTCCCAATACAACAGTCACTATACTATAATCTATTTACTACTACCATAATATTGTTCTGAAGCTATTTTCTTGTGGCATTTAAAATTAATTACTATTTAACTGGGAATAAGCCACAATTAAAGATAAAAATATGTTTATTGACGTTTCAAATACAAACAGTAAATTTATTGTTTGTACTTTGAGAACGATTTCCGAACTGGAAATTAAAACGTCAATAAACGTATTTTTATCTTATTGTGGCTTATTCCCAGTTAAATAGTAATTAATTTACTACCATAATATTATACTGTCTACCAAAACAGTAAAATTGTTATATCACATTTAATATCTAGATATTTTTAAAATATCTACAGACCCCAGGATGACTCAGCCTGTATAAAATGAGTACCTTGCTAGTAGTGTTGGCTTGTGAGTCGATGTTTCGAAGCAATGAGTTGAGTCACAGAACTGTTTCAATGTTTTGATACATTAAATGTTTACTGTTTCGAAACATCGAGTCAGTATGTGTCATATCTGATAATGATAAGTATTCATTTAAAAATGGTAATGAAAATATATACAACCGAGAAAAAAACCTAATTAAATAAAACCAGACTAAATATATCTAACCTACACCTAAAACAATAAATTTGGGCATAGCAAGATGAAATCCCTAATCGTCCAACAATCCTCATAACTATACTTTAGTCACATTGCTGTCACGTGCCTTACAAAACATGAATCTGCACTAAATATTGTATCTTTGCATAGCGACCGACAATGAATTCTTATGATATGAAACATATGAAGTATCCAGTAAAATGTGTTAATTGTTTCAATGTTTCGAATCATTGTTTCAAAACATCACACTGAGTTAATTCAAATGATTCAAACATTCAATTCAAAACATTCAAATGAGTCATTTCGCACATCACTACTAGGTAGAGGGTGAGTAAAACCAAGAGTAAAAACAGGCAGTTGAAGCACAGCACTGGCCTGGTTAACTTCTTTTTATACACTAGTAGTATAAAGGGTGACTATTATTATTATTTGATTTAAAATGCAAGGTCATATTAAGTTCATTAGATTTTTAAAATATCTCTTTAATAAACTTCAGTATTTATTGCAAACTGCAAACTGTACTATTATCCCCAATAGTACAGTTTGCAGACGACACAGCAGTGATATCTTTTAGTAAACATTTATTAAGTACAATTAACTGATTACAAAGACAGGTGCATGCCACAATATCTTGGACCATCAAATGGAGATTAATAATAAATCCCTCTAAAACTGAACTAATAATATTTAACCATAGAATCAAAGATTACTCTCTGTCTATAAATATACGTTAAATATTTGGGAATTGAAATAGACCACAAATTAAATTTCAACTACCACACATCATGTATAAAAAAAGTTATAACTAGAGCAAATAATATAAAAGTGGGTGAAACTTGTGGGCCTTTGACAAATTACTAAAATGCATCATCATTACCAACTTCATAATCCATCAAATATAAGACTTTACAATAAAACTGGAATAGAACCTATAAATGAGACTCAATAATTTCTTTAACTATTTCTCTATTAAAGAAATGCAATTGATTGAGCCTCAAGTTATGAAGATAACTGAAAACACTCACTATGAAAATAATCAGAGAGAACTCTATTTGATGAAATCTTCTACATTTCCAGACAATAAACAACTTTCATTTAGTGTGGTTCCTTTCAAGGTTATTTTAATAGTCTGACAATATTGTAGTTACCACTATTTCTTCTGTATCTGTAAATGTTCATGTTTTCTTACATATCAATAGAAAAACAACAAAGAAGTATAATAAGATAATCTGATAGGATCAAGAAAACAAAGAAACAATCGCATAAAGAATGTAAAGGAAAACAGCTTACACATAATAAAAAATACATAACATTCAAAGAATTTACCCATAAGACAGAATATAATTTAATATGATACTAATTAATTTTTATTTTGGGAATGATTTCCGAAGTAGAAATGTAATCATAAAAACTCAATTCAATTGTGGTTAATTTCTATTAACAATAATAAATAAGTTCTGTTTATCTGTGCAGTCCCTCATTTTGTATTCTTTACAAGCAATCTAATCTCTTCAACTGGTTTGTCCCATTTTTTTCCATCTCTGTATTACATGACTTACCTGAATAACTTCTGTCCCTTTAGTTTTCAACATCTCAGTCTGTAATATATTATTGGACTATCATTTCTCTATTGTTCTTTTGAGATACTTAGCTACATAGACTTGCTATGAATAAATGGAATGTTAAATGTGTTGAAAAATGTGCCCTTTGTCCAATTGACTGCCACATAAACTAGCAAAGATGTAATGTGAATAATTATGACTTTTCATTTGGTATGCCTCCAAATGCCCAATCATCTAAATAAGCCCAATTATACTTTTTTTTTAATAACCAAATCCACCTATTTTCTTAGGATTGTGTTTTTAAGTCATCAATACAGACTTCTCAGCAAAAATGAAACCAGTTCAGAACAGTATTCTTATTTATATCCAAATTTTCATTCAGATAAAAATGAGGCATATTTCAAAACCCAATAATGAATTAAAAGTAATAATTTTGTCAATGATAATCAGCTTAGGGCAAAAAATTACCCTTTGGGAACACTTGTCCCCATCTTACACACACAGCAAAAGATTGGTTGAAATAAATCTAAAGATAAAACAAGTACCTCAAATAACTAAAATCCTCTGAACAATTATGAAACATGTTTTTAACAATAATATAAAAATTAGATATATACAAACATAATTTAGGTAAAAACCTACTATTCAAAAAATTTATAAATAATTAAACACAATGTGGTATTTTTAAAATTTCTAAAATTGCATTTTTGATAAATTGCAACACACTGTGACTCACATGGAAATTTCAAAAAAATAATTATGAACTTGAATCTTAAAAATAAAATTCCCAGAACGTCTAATCAATAGCTCTTTTGTGAGATAAATATTTTGGTAAATTCCTGGAATCTCGAATACAGGTGAGACAGTACGTTTTGGTTAATGAACAAAGGCTTCCACCCCAGGGTCAGCGACCGTGGAATGACCGTAAGTAAAGTTTAAAATCAACGTTAATGCTACAGACCACCATTATACTTATACCTATCTATCCAAGGTCCTTACAATGCCAAGAATGTGAACAATTTATGACCTGCGGATGAAGGAATTATACCTTTGTCTTACTTTTATATTCTATACTTTTTTGTTGAAGATGACGTCTGTAGACATTATAACAAAGAAATACAACACTTAAAATAGTCGTAAATTGAAATATAATGTTAACCATTATAATAAAAAAGTTAAACTACTATAATTAATTCTAAAAAGCCTTGTGAATATCCAGGAAGCGATTTCCAACAATTTGTTTGAACAAGCTGACATGTTTATCACACAAACAGCCAAACACTACTTTAAAAAGGCTTAAAATGAACAAAAAATCAATATAAAACCTTAAATTAATAAATACTTGATATGATTAATTAACACCAAGAGTATAAACCAAAAAGAAACGGTAAATTTCGAAGAATAGACATGACGCATAATGGGCAAAGTAAAAAATGCATGGTGCAGATATTCTAGAAAGCGTGAAAATGCTAACACATAATTATAAACTAACTTTATCTACTTACCCTTAGAAGTAAAATGTAGACGGTTGTAAAAAGAAACTATTAATTAACTAGGAGTGCACCCTAAAGAACGTTGCGAAAATTTATGTAAAAAATGTCACTGCCTCACTGTTGTTTGTAAAGGGCACTGACAGCGACAGCGACAGTGGGACGTGGACGATCATGAACATTGGCACGATCGGCTAAGATCGTGTAAACTGAATAGTCGTTGAGGGTATAAAAATCAATTTTATTGTCAAGAGTTTGTAAAAAACTCAATAAAAGATATTGAAAAAGTGTTTTTAATTTTTAAAAAATCGAAAAGTGATTATACTGTTAGAAAATATGTTAGTTTTACTTCAGTTTTATATATTTCTCGACTGTTATCTACTGACATGTCTTGTACTGCCAACATAAATGAATTAAACAAACTATATTCTATTTCCGGTTGGGAATTTTAAAATTTATATTTATTTAATATACACATTTTCTTAATAAAGTTAAATACATAGCTGGTTATATTTAAAAAATATTTACAAATCGGCAATGTATTTATTACATGATCAAAGTGATTTACAACAATTTTAAACTTTTAAATTTTCTCAATGTATATTCTATCTATCTGGCAGATTATTTATTACGGTAACAGAGTTTATTGTGTAGTTTTCTATAATTGTGTGTAGGGATAGTATATTAAAATATAAATAGGTGTATCTGCACAGCCTTTTAAAAGATTATAATATATAATTTATTATAATCTTCCTTGCAATCTACAGGTTTATTTTTTGGTTATCTGATGTTTTCGTTATTTACAGGAACCACTCACTTACAATGCTTAGCTATATAGGCCCTACCATTTGATGTTTGTAATTTTCTTTAATGGTTAGGGGAAAAGCGGTAGGTATATTAGTTAGAAAATATATTTTTAAATGTATATAAATGATAATAATAAAAATAGTTAGCCAATTTTTGGTTCAGATATATATTTATTGGTCAATGACGGATTTGCAAAAATAATAACAAAAATTAACATTTTGATATATTAATTTTAAATAGGTATCAGTGCTAGTGCTAATAAAACTTTTTCTGACAGAATGTTTAATTTATTTTTATTTTAATTTAGATTTTACAATTTTTAAAGCTTTCATTTTGTTTTTTTTTTCATTTTGCTTAAACATAGTTTGGATTTATATAATTTTGCTCCATATCACCGAACAACCATATTTTTGTTCGGTGACCATATCAACGGGTTTATTTTGTTTGACAGTTGTTTGAATTTTTCTCATTTTGCTAAATAAATACCTACCTAAATGTCGAAAATAAGATACCAGTATACGAAAAAAACTATTCATAAAACAAAGTTTAACTTTCAGAAAACCTTTTCAACTATGAGTGACTCCACTACACATCGGCAGACGCGTCCGCGGACGACAACTACGTATGCATCTGGAGATGTGTAGATGGGCTAATATGATCATCTGTTGTTTATATATTACGTCCGCGGATGCGTCTGCAACATATCCGATTGTTGTCGGTTTTCTTTGACTTCTCTACACATCGGCAGGCGCGTCCGCGGACGACATCTAAGTATGCATCTGGAGATGTGTAGATGGGGTAATTTGATCATCTGTTGTTTATATATCACGTCCGCGGATGCGTCTGCATGATATCCGATTGTTGTCGGTTTTTTTAGCACAGATCAAAGCGTTTTGGTGCGATATTGCGTGTCTCGGGAATTAACACAGACTGAACGATAGATATGTGTCCAGATGTGTGGTCATCTTGTGCTGATACATCTGCAGATGCGTCCGTAGACGCGTCTGCCGATGTGTAGTGGAGGTCGTAGGTACACTTCCCGTCATATAAAACTGGTACACTTTTTTTCCCAATGTAAACCTGTGTTTAGGCTAGACACAATGGCTCGTCAATCAATTCTAATGATTGACGATTGTCAAATCTAAATAAAAAAATAAAGTTCAAAAATGTACAAAATTTTTAGATAGGTATTATTTTTATCATTAATCATCAAAAAACCGTATCTAATAGATTAAATAACCACAGATATTTAGTTTAGTTTAGTTTAGTCAATATCCAAAATATTTGAAGGGTCTTTAAACCTAGGGTATTGGCACAGCGAACATTGGAATGCATCTACTGTAATTTTATACTTCAATTACCTACCCAAGAACGATAAAACATGCGAAAAACTAACATTATACTTTATCCTACGTATTATAAACTATAAAATATCCGGGGCGAAAAAACGCTTTTCAAAACGCGACAGTTACAATCCAATATCTCACTGAAATGTTTTATTAAAATAATTTAAAGTTATGTCTAGATTGATTATCTATCATTATTTTTGAATTGAAATATTTTCATAAATTGTTATAAAACACAAATCAATATATGGGTACTTAATTGAGATGATGTAAAATTAAAAAATTAATATAAGAATTTTTTAGGATGCATGTTTAAACAAATTTAATGTGACTGACTGATCGAGAATGCTTGATGTTTTAGTTTTAATATACTCAAAACTGGCGGTCTGTCACCCAACCCTGCTTTTAGCTGGTTTCATAAATATTTTCGTTGAACTGGCAACGGTGCCCTAGAAATTAGAATGACACATGTGACAAGATCAACGTACACAACCCAGACAGCACAGGACATCCCTGGGACGTCCATTTTATGCCATTTTAAGGTCCAAACGTCCCGGGACTTCTTTTGGACGACCGAGGGACGTCCAAGGGATATTTCTAGTCGGACATACCAGGTACGTCCCATAAGGTCGTCCGAGGGACGTCCCATTAGGGATGTTTTCTAGATGTTAAACTGTGTCAGTTTTTTACTTAAGCATATTTTTTTACAAAATATAATATCTTCCTACTAAACTTTATTTTAATAAGTTATATTTAGTTTTAAATACCATTAATTTATACGAAAACAGACATCTCCAAAATTTTGTTGTGTAGTGGAACTGAAATTTAAAAATTAGAAGATGAAAGAAGAATCTGGTTATGTTTTAACGAAGCTTAGCTTTAGCTAGCATTTTCGGAATCTTTTGTTTCTCGAATTATAATCATTGTGGTTGTGGTTGTAATTAGAGTTAGTTTATTGCATTTCGATACTAGTTATAGTTTGGTAATTTATTATTATAGACATTAAGTAGGTATATAAGAATTTTATAGGTAATTTTTGTGGTTGTGGTGTGAGTTGCTGCCAGTGGCGGCTCGTGACATCTGCTATAGGGTGTGCTGCATGAACCACGGTCAATATAAAATAATAGAAATAGAATAACATACGAAAACAAAAACAATAAAATTAGCTTTAATACTAATTAATAGTAACTAATAACGACATGCTATAAAAATCTGATTAACTTACATTTATTGCATTTTTCTAAATTGGAAATTAATACGCCGGTCCTTTTTTGTCGCAAACTTTTCGATTACTTTATCGTTAAAGTTCGGTATTGAAGCGATGAACTTTTTTTCTATCGAGAGTGTGGAAAGGGCTGTTAATCTGTCTTCGCACATTGAATTTCTTAAAAATGTTTTGATCCGTTTTAAAGTTGAAAAACTACGTTCAGCTTCTGCTGTGGTCATTGGCGTAGTCACCAGAATTTGTATCAACTTTTTGGTTTCTGTTAATGTGTCCTCTAAATTATTAGAAATTATAAATTTTAGTAAAGGCACTGCACCTTTTAATGTTCTACACTCGATATTGGAATACAAAACTGACAGTTCTGTTCGCAAACGGTTTTTATCAAAGAAGTTATAAGCTGTACAAGTTAAATCCAATTCATTTTCAGGAAACTTATTATTATATTTTTCGAAATGTTCTGAAGATAAAAGTGTTGCGGCAACTAGATGATTTGTATATGCAAACCGTTCTTTTGCATTGTTTATAATAACATCACAAACTTCTAGACAGGCAATACGGTGATCCTGTTGGCTGTTATTTGGGCGTTTCCTTTTTTGGACACTAGGCGCCGCATTTAAATTTGAAGCTTGATGTATGATAGGGTCTATTTTATTTCGGACATTGTTAATACTTTGCTCAAAAACATGTATAGCTTTCTGTGCTTCGGTTGGGTCCATGTTCTTTTTTTGAAGATTATTGTACAAAACGTCAACATGTGGCATAATATAATGAAAAACAGTCAGCCAGAAAGTAAAATTTTGATCTTCCAGAATACGTCTAAGTCCTCTTGCTTCCTTGGAAGTAATAGCATTTGACTCTTCTTCTAGTTGCTCCATACACTCAATAATAAAGTCTCTATATTCGTAAACGAGTTTACTGTACGAATATTGAAATTCCAGCGTGTAGGGATTGAACGAGGAATATTTTTTCCAACTATTTGATTTAAGACAGCTATTCTTTGAGGTGAATGACTAAAAAATCCAGGTATATCATGTAAATCTCCAAAAAATACGCGTACTTGGGAATTAATAGAACATGCTCTTGACATTATTAGATTCAATTGATGGGCGTAACAGTGCACAAAATGAGCAGTTTCATATTTTCTCTTAATTATTGTTTGCACTCCGCCATGTATCCCACTCATAACAGCTGCTCCGTCATAACTTTGTGCAATGAGCTTATTTTTGTTATTCTTTAATATTGGGTCTAAAACATTCAAAATTGTGTTAGCTAAGGTTTCAGCATCATGTTTTTCTGGAAGCAAAAAAGTCCAAAACCTTTCAACTGGAGCACCGTTTTTTACATAACGAAAAACAATGACCATTTGAAATTTCATAGAAACATCCGTTGTCTCATCAGCTATCACTGCTAAAAATGGGGCTTCATTGATTTCGTTTAAAATCTCCTCAGCGTATACTTCTAGCATGCAATCCAAAATATCATTTTGTATTGTTTTTGAGGTACCTTTGAAAATTGTCGCATTTGTAAGGTGTTCACTAAGTGTTTTATCAAGTTCAGCAGAAAAATTCACTAAACCACGAAAAATTCCAGGGTTATCTGATGTTTCAGATTCATCGTGTCCTCGTAAGGCGAGCTCAAAAGCCCCACAGAATTTTATACAGTCAATTATTTTTGACAAAACATACCTGTTTTTCGTCACCTCTTCATTGTGTTTTTGTATATTTATCCAATAAGCAGAGTCAAGTTGGGCCTGTATATTAAGT